CGCCCTCTGGGAACAGGCTTACTTCCTACTACGTCCCTGTCAGCCCGATGCATATCTTGCTATATCTTATTTTCCATCAGGCAAATGGGAGTGTGTGGTCCTGGCACCACCTAGGACATGATCTAGGCCTGAGCGCCAGCTGGCTGAGCACTGGCTGGACAGGTCAGCCTGGGTGATTGTGGGAGCCAGTGGCTGAGCACCTGTTTTCCTTCTGCCTGCCACGTGTCTGGGATCAAACCCTTATCTCCTCACCCCACAGCCACCTCATCCCTGGGTAGGTTTTCCCATAGGGCACACTGTTCTAAGGCTTCTCCCAGAGTTGCATCCTTCAGTGAGCAAGGCTGGGAGAATAGGTGAGTAAGGGCTACCCCAGCTAGGGCCTGGAGGCCTGTTAGCCAGAACAGAGGGAGGGCCTGCCAGAGGGGTCTAACTGGCTCTGGGCCCAGATGGGGCCTGCTGCACAGCCTCCAGAACCACGGGAAGCCCAGGGTGGCCCTCTGTGGATGCGTGGAGTCAGACATGGGTCATTTGGAGCATGGGCTCTGAGAATGTTCTGCTGCCCTCATGGGTCTGTTCTGTTATTTGCCTCTCACCTGTCAGGAAGGGATCCCACTGGGGCCTGTGATCATCAGCTGCTGTGGTTGGCACCTCTGCTCTCTGCCCACCTATATGTGGGTGAGGTAGCTCTGGGGAGTGAGAGGACATTGTTGTTTGCAGGCTCTAAAGTTTGCTAACAATTTGTGTGCCGGGCTTGGTGCTAGATGGGGTGTGTTGGTGCCTGGGGTACAAGGACTGATTGGCTCTGGCCACTCCCCCCCAAGGCTTTTGATGCAGCCTGGTGTGTCTCAATCCCCTGTACCATGCCTGGGTCAGTCTTCTGGGCTTTGGGGGCCTCTGAGCAGTGGCTTTGGTGCCAGCCTCTTTTCCCAATCCAGCCTGTGAGTGCAGGGCAGTGAGAGACTGCTTCAGACTGAAAATGCAGGCAGGTACCTGCCTTGAGTGCCTTGCGGTCTCCAGAATGCTGCTCACTGGACGGCCACAGGGCTTGGGGCAGTGGAGTGGGGTGAGGGCCATGGTCTCTGACAGTGGCCTCCTGGGTTCTGGAGTCTCTGTGGTTCTTCTCCAAAGTGGGGTGCAGCCCACTGTCAGGCGTCCCCCACCTTGGCACATGAAGTGCAAGTGCTTCCAGCCACATGGCCAGTAGGGGAGCATTTGCTTTTTTTGCTTTGTGGGTTTTTTTTTTTTTTTTTTTTGCTTCCAGCCACATGGCCAGTAGGGGAGCATTTGCTTTTTTTGCTTTGTGGGTTTTTTTTTTTTTTTTTTCTGGTTTAAATGTGTAAACTTTATTTTTTCACATTCAAAGATTTATTTACTTGACAAAATATAAAGTGGTATTGTCCTGGACAGAGAGAGAACCCTCGTTAGTGAAGTCTAAAGCGTATTACACTTTAAGAAGTATCAAATAATACTAACATCACAAAATGCAGAAATAGAAACACAGTGTTTTGATCAGTAAACCCAGAATTCTTTCAAAACCCCCCCATTATCTTGCTCTTTATTAATGTTTGTGTGTTTCATATGAGAGAAAGCATATGATATTTAAGATTAAGATTGTGTGTCTGATTTCACTTAACAGTCTGGTCTCAGGTGCATCCATTTTCCTACAGATCACTCAAGTTTATCCTTCTTCATTGTTTAATAGTTAAGAGACTTTATTCTAGTAACTATAATTACAATGCTTGTCAAACTGAAAATAAGTATGCAAAATGGTTGATTGCTAATGGCATACTGAAAACAGTAAGAGGTTCCACAACACCAAGTAAACCAGTTTTGAGGTTTCCCCAGGATAGATTTAACAACTCCAGCTTCTTCGGTGTTCATCAAAACACAAAAGCAAAAAGTATGGGCGTCCTTTTCAATGGCAAATTTGGACCCTTGCAGGCCATGGGAGAAAGCTCCTTCACAAACGGAGTCAGGAGTGCTCCAGGGCTGTGGTCTGGAGTGGACCCACTGATCAGCTGGCATGTGCTCCCGCCAGAGAGACCCACATGTCACCCAAACATCTGAGCAGGCATGGGGAACATAGGCTGCCACACGAAATGCACACTTGTCAAGGATGAGGGGGACGTTGGGCCCCATGTCCCTGTCGTGGCCCTCCCCACCTGCCTAAAGTGGCTGTGGGTGCAAGAGTATAAGCACAGAGCTCTAGAATGCAGGTGGCCCCAGGCCAGGCGGGCCACCGGCCTCTACTCTGACCAGACAGTGGATGGTGTTTTCTTGTCCCCATCTCTTGCATTCCCAGAGGCATAGCTGATGTGCTGGGCTAGCATTTGGGCCCCGTGACAGTACCTTCACCAGGCATAGCCTGCCTTCTTTGTGTTCAGGTGTTCTCCTTATCAGGTGTTTCTTTTTTTTCTTTTTTTTTTTTTTTTTTAATGTATTTGGTACAGGGTCTCAGTATGCAGCTCAGACTCAGTGATCCTCCTGTTTTCAGCCTCCCTAGCGCTGGGATGACAGGTGTGCACCACCATGCCTGGTCTCTTTATCGGGTATTTCTATTTTATAAATTTCACTGAGTTCTGGTTAATAGCCAATCACCAAGTGGGTCCTAACACTAGTCTAACAACCCAGCAGCTCCTGGAGGCCAGGTTCTCACAGACCCAAATCCCTTCTCAGTACTAACAGGTCATTCTCTTTTTACAATAGAAAAGCTGAGTAGTGTTGCCTAGGAATACCAGAAACTGCCTCAGCGGAAACAAACTATTTAGATGAAATCAAAACGTGGCCGCCAGTCACATCTGCACACATACAATACAATGTGTTCACACTGTGACTAGCCCATGGATACAGCTTCTGGCACTCAGGACACAGAGGCCCACATTTGCCACAGGGAGGAGGAAGTAAAGGAGTGGCGCTGTGGTTTACTTCTGCTTCTGGACCTGATTGGACAGCCAATCCAGCTCTTCTTGGAGCCTGTTCTGGCAGGTGGCAGGAACGTACCAGCTCCTGGGATATGGAGAGCGCAGCCCCAGCTTGTCTGTGGTTTCAGCTGCATTTGTTGTGTCGGAGAAGCCCTACTTAGCAAGCAGGTGGCGACATCCGGAGAGTGTCCTCAGCTGTCTGTTACTACGATCCACCACAAAGATCAAGCCCTGGGTATTCTGGAGGTAGTGGTGCCCCAGTGACCACATCTTGTTCTGGCCACCCACATCCCACACCATGAAGCTGCTGTTTTTGTGTTCAGTGGTCTCTACCTCGAAACCTATATTGGGAATGGTGGTTCCAGTTTCACAAGGCAGTTATGAATACACACACACACACACACACACACACACATATTACTATTTATTGCTATGTATGATGACCTAAACTTTTGGAAAGATACCTAAAAAGGTAATAGCTAGGTCAAATACATTTCCAGTTTTGTTTTGTTTTTTTAAATAGGGTTTCACCATGTAGTTCAGGCTGGCCATATACTCACTGTATAGCCCAGGCTGGCCTCAAACGTTAGGCAGTCTTCCTGCCTCAGCCTCCTGAATTCTGGGATTACAGGCTTGTGCCTCCATGCCCAGCCCTACGTTTTGAGGACTCTCCACACTGATTCCCATTGTACTGTACGAATTTGCACTCCCACCAACAATGTAAAAGTTTCCCTTTTTGCTCACCTCTTTACCAGCATTTGTCTTTCTTGATGATAGCCACTCTTTCTGGAGTGAGATGGAATCTCAGTGTTGTTTTAATATGCATTTCCCTAGTAGCCAGCAATGTTGAACATTTTTTCATGTGTTTATTGACCTTTTGTACTTGTTCTTCTGAGAAGCAGCTATTCTTTTCTGTCACCAGTAGGGCTGCGTTTGAAGAAGGGGTTTCCGGGCCTGGTCTTTGTTTTGTTCTTTCTCTGAAGCTGCTCTACTAGTGAAAGCCTGTGGCCAGACAAATGCAAGTGTGGTCCCTGGGGAAGGAGGAGCCAGTGCCTGCTCCAGCAGTAGACAACTCTGGGGCTGGCCTGTCACCTTCCTTCCCCATGGCAGTCACTCTGCATCAAACCATTTCCTGGGAGGATGTCCCACTTTGGGACAGGAGAGTTCAGCTATTCCCCAGGCCAGCCTGGGAGTGCTGAGTGTCAAGTGTGGGAGATATAGGCAGCTGGTATGGTGGTCTCCCATGGTGTGTGGGGGCTAGCCTCCATCTCATCCTGCCTGGGGCAACTCCCCCACATAGTGCCCACTGCCAGTCTTGAGCACAGCTCCTCAGGGCAGCGCCTAACCTCCAGACCATTTTGAACGTCATGGTGTCTGTTTGTTGTCAGCTAAGTGGTGCTCAGCCCCCAGCAGGTCCCTGTTTTCCTAACAGCCCCTCAAAACACAGTACTGTCGGAGAGCAGGGTCAAAATGGCAGACTGCTTTACTGTGTCAGTGAGGACACAGAGGCTGGGGGCAGGGCAGCAATTCTACCTCCTCTCATCCCACACTAGACAGGGACAGGCACCGCAGGCCTGGAGGGACACTGTCCCTGGAGCAGTCTCATGATGCGACCAGCCAGCAGTGCTTACAGCCCCTTTCCAGTCCTATTTTCTGACTGCCCCAGACTGCCAGGACTTCGCTAGTCCTCGTGTGCATGTCTTCATCCCTTTTACAAAAGAGAAAACAACTCAGGGAGATCAAGGCTCCAAGCCCTCTAGCCCATGAGTCCCTTTGTCACTACATTTTCTGAGCTACGCCTTACCCAGAGCCTCCTTTGAGGGCCTAGACTCTGAAGCCTAGCACCTAATTGGGTCCCACTGGGGGAAGGGGGACCCCCAGTCCCATGCTTGCCCGGCCTCTCCCACATGGGGCTGGGGGTCAAGCCCCAAGGTCCAGGGTGCCTTCTGAAGCATTTGTCACTTAGATATTGGGCATGTCTCTTTTCTTGCCTGCAAGCTGGGGACAGGCTATCTCCCAGGGCTGGGGAGGATGGAACCAGTACCGGCCACGATCTCCAACAGCCTCCCCCACCCCCAGGCGCTGCTGCTGTTGGGGGCCACCGCCCTGGCCTGCCTCGCCCTGGACCTCCTCTTCCTGCTCTTCTATTCCTTCTGGCTGTGCTGCCGTCGGCGCAAAACTGACGAGCACCTGGATGCCGACTGCTGCTGCACGGCCTGGTGTGTTATCATCGCCACGCTGGTTTGCAGGTGAGGCAGGGAGGGGGGACATGGAGGGTGGGGCAATGGGAGGGGCCAGAAGGGTGGGTGGGGCCGAGAATGGTGGGGTTCCCCTGCCCCCACCCCATAGTCACAGTCTGGTCTTCTCCAGCGCGGGCATCGCAGTGGGCTTCTACGGCAATGGGGAGACCAGCGACGGCGTCCATCGGGCTACCTACTCGCTTCGTCATGCCAACCGCACGGTGTCTGGGGTGCAGGACCGCGTGAGTGGCTGTGGGGTGGGGTGGGCTGAGCTGGCAGATAGGAGTGCATGTGGGCAGTGGTGTGCTTAGTAGGGCTCAGCTCCATCCTGTCCTGGCGGCAGGTGTGGGACACAGGAATGGCCCTGAATCGCACAGCAGAGCCCAGCCTGCAGAGCCTGGAGCGGCAGCTGGCTGGAAAACCAGAGCCCCTGCGGGCTGTCCAGCGGCTACAGGGCCTTCTGGAGACCCTGCTGGGCTACACTGAGGCCATCCCCTTCTGGAGGAATCCTGGCGTGTCCCTGGAGATGCTGGCCGAGCAGGTGGACCTCTACGACTGGTACAGGTGCGGTCCAATGCTTTCCTGGAGCACCTAGGGTACTCATGGCCTTCTTGGGCCCACCTTGATCTCAGAACCTAGCACCTGAGGCCTCTTAGGTGGGGGCAGGGCAGCTTGAGGTCACTGGTAGTGGCAAGAACCTGCCAAATGGGCATTTTTTCCCATGCCTGTCCCCAGGTCTGCAGCTGTCTGTGGCTGCCTCTCCTGGGAGTGAGGCTGTCTGCCCCACTCTGACTGTCCCTTCTGCCCCTCTCCCTGGACCCTGTCCCTGTTTGTGCCTGGCCCACACCCACCTGTGCCCACAGGTGGCTGGGCTACCTGGGACTGCTGCTGCTTGACGTCATCATCTGCCTGCTGGTGCTGGTGGGCCTCATCCGCAGTTCTAAGGGCATCCTGGTGGGGTGAGTCTGGGTAGGAGGGTATACCTGGAGGGAGGGGCGGGGTCTGTCACCCATGGGGCCTGTGGTGGGATCCAAATGCCCTTACCAAAGGCACATTTCTGGTGCGGAGCCTGCTCCAAGATGCCTGCACCCTATGCCTAGTGTTGTGAGCTGTTTCCCCCAGCCTGGTTTGGGTTACCTCGGGAAAGTCTGCAAATGGGAGACCTGGAGCCACCTGCCTAGGTCCCCAGGTGCTGGGGACACCAGGAAACCAGGCTGGGACTCCTTGTAACCTCTGCCTTTGGACGTGGAGGCAGTTTGGTTGGCTTTGTTACTCACCAGGCCAGATGTCCTAGGCAGGTACTGCATCAGCTCCCAGTCTCTTCTGTCCCCTTGTCCAAAAATGGAAACAGTGATAGCTTACCCTTAGCATGGCTCTGAGATGGGTTCACTGTCCCCCCTGACTAATTACGTGGCCACAACCCAGCTTCTATATGTACCTCGTAAAGGATGAGTCCAGAGGACTCTCTAGCTCCTGCCCAGTGGCACGTCCAGGCCTTAGAGGCCAAATAAGTAAAGCGAGGGTTACAGGTGATGAGAACTGGAGAGAAGCAAAGCCTGGTCAGGTAGCAGGGCAGTGTGCACACTGCGCCCAGGGTTCACAGGAGGGCAGGTGTGGAGCAGAGCCCCAGGGAGCTTGGGCAGCACACAGACCTGCAGGTCAGGAGTGAGCATGGAGCATGGGAGCCAAGAAAGGTCAGTGCGGGGGCCCAGCTGTGCCCTGGAGAGCCCACCTGCCCAGGGTGCTGAGAAGGCTGCCCCTGGGGATGCAGCGTGGAAGGGCCTGGTCTGGCCAAGGCTGGCAGGGCTCTCACACTGCTCTGTGAGGCAGAGACTGGGACTGGGGGTATAGCTTCTGACAGGTGTGTCTAGCCTTGGATTCCATTTCCCTGCACTGCAAAGAAAAAAAGGAGAAAGTAGAGACTGTTGTCTGCTAAAGAAAGGGCTCTAGAGACAGGCTTAGGGACAGGACAGTCAAAGCCTAGGGAGCCTCCTGTCCTACAGTCAGGCTGGAAGCAGAACCTCGCTGGCCCCTAGGCCTTGGGTGGGCCTGGTCTCGGCCAGAAGTCAGATGCCCAGATATACCTGGGTTTTGCCTTCCAGTTATAACCCAGCTAGTGGCATGTCCTAGCCTCCAGCCTGGGGGTTGCTGATCAGCTTTTTTTGTCCCAAGGGTCTGCTTGCTGGGGGTCTTGGCCCTGGTCATCAGCTGGGGTGCGCTGGGTCTGGAGCTAGCTGTGTCTGTGGTGAGTGGCAGAGGACCAGCAGTCCCAATCTGCTGAGCCTGAGTGGGAGGTGAAGGAAGCTGAAGTCTGCCCCCCCACGTTTCCTGGATCACTGGGTCCTTGTCATGGGCACACAGCATATCCATACACCCTCCCTCCCACCCCCAATTCTTACTCTACCTTCTTGAGCCAAAAGGGGTCAGGTTGTGCCCATTGAGGGCCCAGGGTACCATTTCCCCAGAGGCCCTGCTTAGTGACCCCTTTTCTTGCCTGCACCTACTCAGGGTTCCAGCGACTTCTGTGTGGACCCTGACACCTATGTGACCAAGATGGTGGAGGAGCACTCGGTGCTGAATGGGGGTGAGTCTATGGTCATGTTTGAGTTGGTCCCCTAACTGGGCTGAACTAGGAGAGCCAGGTGAACAGGGCTGGGGGCTGGGGGTCCCTGCCTTCATGGCCCTTAGTCTTAGAGAAGCAGGTGCTAGGCCAGGAAGCTAGTCAACCAACAGAACTACCTTGACCAGCTGTCCAGGACTGGGAGGCCCCTGAGGACTGGGGTAGGCAAGTGGCCCAAGGCTGCTGCAGAGTGGGTGATCTGGGAGGGCAAGGCCTCCAACAGGTGGCACCAGAGTTGAGCCAGCTGAGGCTGCATGTTGTACAGAGACCCAGAAGCAGAAATACTAGAAATATTTGTAAGGCAGAAATGCTGGACCCTGTGGGAGGAGAGAGAGTAGAGAGGCCAGCAGGGCCAGGATGCAGGTCCAAGTTTGGGATTTATTCTGGAAGGGCAGGAGAGATGTGAGCCATAATGGAATAGCCTTTTAAAAGCTTCTTTGGGTTCCTGGGTGACAAGGATCTGGGGCATGGCTGTTGGACTACTATAGACAGGAGTGGCTTGAACAAGCAGGGTGGAGTGTGGAAAGGGGTGTCCTTTGAGGGTAGAGCTGATGGGACTCCTGAGGAGCTACACAACTTCTACATCTGGTCTTCCAGGCCCGGAGTTCCTGGAGGCTTGCTGGGAGCAGAGATCCCAGGGCTGAGTGCAGGTGCTGTCATTGCACCAGGGTCCCAGTCCAAGTAGAAGGTCTGGGCCCTGCCAGGATCTCTCTGGAGGCCACAGCTCACTCACACATGTGTGTATGTAGTCACATATATTCTCTTGCACATGCATATATGTGCATGCACACATTTGCACTGTGTGAAAATGTATACATAGATATAACACAGGTGTACACACGTGGACAAATGCAAGCACACACTTGACATATGCATGCACACAGACACCATATGCAGACACGCAGGGCTGCTGCCTCAACCCACCCTGCCCTCTCTCCACAGACATTCTGCAATATTATCTGGCCTGCTCGCCCTATGCTGCCAACCCCTTCCAGCAGGTGAGAGCCAGCCCTGTCCTGGGAGGCCAGGCCGGGTGGAGGGGTGGGAAGAGTCCAGGACACAGTGTCTAGAGAGAGGCTGAGCAGGCCCTGTTCTGGCCTTTGTTGCCCACACACCCACAGTCCACAGACAACTCCAAGGCTGAGCAGAGGCAGCCAGCTGAATGGTGTATTGATATCACTTGCTCCCTGGGGCTGCCATACTAAATGCCCCGGCACAAGCTGTTTGTTGTGACCTGCTTAATACCACCACAGCCCTGGACTCCTTTCACTCCGTGGGCTGTCCGGAGCAACCCCTAGGGGGAAGGGGCCCAGCTGCCCATTGGGCAAGAATGGGAGAAGCCTTGGAGACACCTCTCTAGAATGCTGTCCATTTGCGTGTCCTGGTGGTGGGATTTTAAAGGGTCAGCAGCACCGCTGCTCATACCCTTTACGTGCTGCCAGTCATACCGAATGGCATGACTCCAGGTTCTGAGCCCTGTCTGCCTGAGGATGCCCTGCTTTATTCTCTAGAGTGGGCACAGGGTTCCCATCACCCATTGAGCTGTGTTATCCCTGGGTGTGTAGGTGACTAGAGAGCAGGTCACTCGCTGCAGTCTGCTGGGCAGAGCTGGCACAGCCAGCCACCTGGAGATATGTAGGCTGCCTGGGGCCAGGGGTGGGGTGGGCTGGGGGATGGGCTGTCTGGCTGCTGGAACTTAGGCCTCTCTGTGGAGCAGAAGCTGTCTGGCAGCCACAAGGCACTGGTGGAGATGCAGGACACTGTGGTTGAGCTTCTGAGGAGTGTCCCACGGGAGCACCCTGCCACCAAGGTGAGGGGCTGCAGGGCCCAAAGAGGGAGTCTACCCCTTTTCAAATAAGGTCTTCTTCCTCTTCTCCCTCTGTCTTTAGTCCTTTACCCTGGGGAGTTTTGATAGACTGCATGTAGCGATGACCACAGTAGATACATCCATGTGTGACCTGTCTCTCCCTGCAAATCTGGGGCAGACTGCAAGGTCACCCTTCCTAAAGGCCAGGATCCCCAGGGCCTGTGCCAAGGTAGAGGGAGACCTGGGACTCTTGGGGGAGCTCATGGCTGGCCTGGATCTCCCTGTGGTATAGTGTTGACTCTGAGTTTCACCTGCTCCCAGGACCCCCTGCTCCGTGTCCAGGAGGTGCTGAATGGCACAGAAGTGAATCTGCAGCACCTCACTGCCCTGGTAGACTGCCGCAGCCTACACCTGGTGAGGTCCACAGCGGGCAGAGGGTGCTGAGGAGGAGGTCAGGAGTCAGAGCAGCTTGGTGGGGTCAGAGGGGAGCTTTGGAGCAGGGCAGAGGTCAAGGGACCTGGGGCCAAGGGTAGAGTAGAGTTGTGGGGATAGTAGGGGTGGCCCTTGAGAGAAAGAGACTCACTAGCTGATGGGGGCCTCAACCCAGCCTGGCATCAGGACATCCAGGCTCCTATAGCTGAACGTCACCTGGCCTGTCTGTCTCAGACTTTCTGTCCTTGACTCTGTCTCTGCTCCCTGTCTCTCGTCTTGGCTGTCTCAGGACTACGTGCAGGCACTGACAGGCTTCTGCTATGACGGCGTTGAAGGCCTCATCTACCTGGCCCTATTCTCCTTCGTCACTGCTCTCATGTTCAGTTCCATCGTCTGCAGTGTCCCACACACCTGGCAGCAGAAGAGGTGAGGGTGGGCAAGGCCCTGGAATGTGCTCTCCACAGGTGTGGGGCTCCAGCTCCAGCTGAGCACTCCCATTTCACAGAAGAAAACCTGAGCTCAGGAGCCCAGCCACGGAGGGGGACCAGGGTCTCTTGCATCCTTGGCTTGGCACTGCCTGCCCATGCTGGGGGGGGGGGTGTTCATAGGTCACTGTTCCTAAAGCCTGGGTCCTCAGGCTACAGGTTTGCAAAACTGGGTGGACCCTGGCTATGGGATCTCCTGTAGGGGGTAATTCAGGTGGCTGTGGGCCTCTGCTGGGTGACCACAATGGATCAGATCCACGTCCCTTGGAGCCACTCTGTCTTTATCTTTAAAGTAGGATACCTGGTAGCCCCTGCCTCAGGCTTCTCATTTAGTCCTGGGTTGAGTGGGGTCAAGGGTATTGAGTTCCTTCCCTTACAGAAGCCCCATGGTCCGTCCCCCAGACCTTGCTCACCTCCCATTTGGGCTGAGGCTGATTCTTGGTGCCTAGCGTGGATGCAGGTAGTTCAACTCTGGTTTCTTCTCTTTGCCTGGATTTCTGTTGTTTTCCCTTATTATGATTATGATGATGATGATGGTGATGGTGATAGACAGAGGTAGTAATAGTGGTGGTGACGGTGATGGTGATGGTTGTGATGATGGTGATGGTGGTGAACATGATGGTGCTGATGCTGGTTTTGGTGATGGTGGTGATGAAGGCAATGATGGTGGTGGTGGTGGTGGTGGTGATCATGTAGTAATGGTGACAGGTGAGAGTTATGGTGTTGATGGTAATGAAGGCGGTAACAATGATGGTGATGCTCTGGCAGTAATAATTATGGTGGTGATGATGGTAGTGATGATGGTGATGGAGGTGCTGGTTGTGGGTGTTGATGGTGTGAAGGTGGTTACAGTGATGGTGATGCTGAAGCAGTGATGATGATGGTGATGTGGCAATGCTGGTAATGGAGGCTGTAATAATAAAGACAGCAGCTCCAGTGGAGTGGCTAGGAGCGCAACATTTGAACCACGTGGCTGTGTTTAGGTCCTAACTCCTTCCTTGGAGACGCGGACAAGTTTTGGGACTCTAACTACCCTAGGCCTCAGTGTCCCTTGCAGTGGAAAAGGAGTTGTAAAAAGACACACTTTGAGGGTCGGGTGATGCCAGATGAGCCACAGTGTGTGTGGACCCTGTGCTGGGCTTAGCTGGAGGTCACTGCTCAGCCAGCAGCTGCCTCTGTCTCTCTCCAGAAAAGCTCACCTTCCCGCAGCCCAGTCCTGTGTCCCACTTAGAACAGGCAGGCTGCCGAAGATCTCCAGAGCAGCAGTGATCTGGCCCAAGCACTGTAGCTCGCCCTGCAACCACTGTGTGCAGTGTGGAGTAGAAAGCCAGAGGATGGCACAGCAAGGAATCCCAGCCTAGGCCACTCTGTGGTATAAACCAAAAGAGCCCCCAGCCGTCTGTGCTCCCCAGGAGGGGACTGTGCTCTTTTAATAAGGTTAGCCATCTCTAACCTGTGCAGGTTGCACATAGGGTCCAGCATGCAGGTGACTGTGTGGTTTCTTTCTTTTTTTTTTTTTTTTTAAATTAATTAATTTATTTGTGTGTGTGTGTGTGTGTGTGTGTGTGGCCAGCTCAGCCCACCAGGGGGCGGGGCTGGCTGGCATGTGGTGCTGGGGGATTGAACCGCAGTCCCTGTGCTTTGCTAAGCTTGTTCTAAGTAGGTGCTTTAGACCACTGAGCCATCTCACCAGCCCCCATGTGTGGTTTCTTAGTACCCAATCGTAGAGGATAAAATCGAGGCTCAGACCTGGGTGACCGGCTGCAGTCCACAGTGTGCACATGGCCCAGCGGGACTGAAAGCTCTTCTGCCCCAAAGCCACCTGCGGGCCTCATGCTGGTTTTCTCATGCTGTCCTGAGTGTCACATGACCCTTCCTACAGGGGCCCTGATGAGGATGGAGAAGAGGAGGCTGCCCCAGGGCCACGGCAGGCGCATGACAGCCTTTACCGTGTGCACATGCCCAGTTTGTACAGTTGTGGCAGCAGCTATGGCAGTGAGACCAGCATCCCAGCTGCAGCCCACACAGTCAGCAACGCCCCAGTCACCGAATACATGTGAGTCACAAACAGCGGGGTGGGGCCAGCCCGGGGAGACAGGCAGTCAGGGCTTGCAGGAGCCCAAGGGCAGATCTGCAGCTGCATTAATACAGCCTGGGGCTCCCTAGACAGAGGGAAAGAATGGTGGTGCCGGCTGAGCCCACAGGAGGGTAAAGGGGCTGTGTCACAGGCAGCCCCAGACTTCAGGGAGCAGCCTGGCGTTGAGAACCTCCTGCCTCTGAGTGAAGCTGGTGGAGGGGCAGTAGGGGTCCCCATGGTCAGATGGAGGGCGTGGCTACATGGTGGGTAGGCAGCCTGGTGGGAGATGGGCTCTGGCCGGGCAGAGGTGACAGGTGGTGACAGCTAGATGGATGACAGGTGAGAACATAGGATCCTGCCCTGTGGAGGTCAACATCAAAAATGGGTGCCAGGCAGAGTTGGCTGGGCACAGGGTCTGCCTAGACCAGAGATGAGCCCTCTCAACAGGCCTGGGGCCACTGTCCCTTATAGCTTCTCTCCCCCTTAGGAGCCAGAATGCCAATTTCCAGAATCCCCGCTGTGAAAACACCCCCCTCATTGGACGCGAGTCCCCACCGCCCTCAGTAAGTCTCAGGAGGAGAATGGGGTGGGAGGGACCCTCGGCCTGCAGGGGCTGTGCTGCTCCACCACCTTCATGCTGTGGTGTGACATGTAGGCAGCACGGGCTCTGGAGTGGCTGTGAGCCTCTAGTGTCATGCAGGGCTCCCCAGCCAGGACCTCTCCAGTATGCCAGTGTGTAGGTGGGCAGATAGAAGGGTGTGACTGTCACTCTTCACTATGTGGGGCCTGGCACTTTCTCCCCACCTCCTTAGGACTGGTCTTTCCTCCTTTTCCTTCTTTCCTCCTCTTCCCAAGCCTCCACCTGTGTCTCAGTCTCTGGCTCTTCCAGCCTGGGCCTGGTGTCCTATCTGGTCTTGAGGATGAGACATGGACAAGAGTGCACAGGGTGGGCTTGCCATGAGAGAGGAGCCAGTGCCAAGCTACAAGCCCCAGGCTTCCTGGAGGGGCAGGGTCACAGGGACAAGCCAAGAGGCTGAGGTCGCCTTACTTGAGAAATCCCCCGCTGTCCTGTTAGCCCATAGCAGATTTGGACCTGGGCTGCTGGGACCTGGATGGAGTCTGTAAGGCCCAGAGGCCGTCCTGAGCTGCTGACCCTAGGCCCAACTGGCTCCACAGCCCACTTAGGGCTGGCCACGCCTGGAGTTGAGGATGCCCCCTCTCTCTCTCTCTCTCCTGCACCCCTCCCATCCTGGGCCCTCCTAGCGCTATCTGGCTGCCCTGGACTCTGGCAGCCACGCAGGCTGGCAGTTTAAGCCCTTGGACAGTGCCCGAACGCTGTGGTAGCTGTGCCCTCAGAGTGACAGGTACTGACCCGGCCGGTCCCCACCCCGCACGGCACTCGCCTGCGCCTCCATGCCTCCTCCTACCCACCTCTCACTACTGCCTTCCACCAGTGCTGGCCTCGGGCCCCCTCCCAGGGCCACATTGGGTGCCCAGTCCAACCATCGAGGCCTCTGACTGGTCGTCAGCCTGCCTGTCTCATAGGAGGGGCAGTGAGCCTGAGCCCAGTTCCCCAGCCTTGAAGGACTCTGCCACCAGCACAAGGGGCCCAGCCCCTCTTGTTACCTCTCAGTGAAGAAACCATGCACCCAGGCCCTTGCCTACTGCCTGGTCCCCATCTCAGCCCTGCATGTCACCTGGCACAGGTGTGTGTACATGGCCTCGCTGTCCCAGGTGGCAGTGCAGGCACCTGCAGGGGCTCCTCCAGGGCCTGGCTGCTCCCTGCCATCTCTGCTGCATGTCCATGGAATGACATGGCTCCTGCTGCTGCTGCCCCTCCTCCTGCCCACTTCATGGCCACCTCATGGCTGTTTGCAACCTTCTAGGTATTCTGGGGAGGCCCTAGGGAACCACAGGAGCAGTGTCCTTTTGAATTTGGGGGCTATGGGGATCAGCACAGGGTCCCTGGGCTTGTAGGAGCCTAACAGGGGCCAGCAGGATCAGCCTGCCAGGCCTCCATGCCACTGGCAACCTTTGGCACAGCCCTGGTCCTTGCCCCCATCGTGGATATGTGAGCCATTTGCACACTGCCTGGCCTTAGCATGTGCTTTGTGTGCTCCCTGTGAGCGCGCGCACACACACACACACACACACACACACACACACACACACCACTTTCTTGCACACCTGCACTGCTCGAAGCCTTCATACTCACAGTTGGGTGAGGGCGGCAAAGAGGTGTGGGCTGTCTGCAAGGCCAGGCAGGGTGGGGTCACCTGCTAGTGAATGCAAGACCTAGGATGACCCCACAGTTAGTCCCCACCCTGACCTGAATGCTGGTGACAGCATCAGTGTGGTTGGGGCTGATGGAGCAGAGGGTTCTGGCCTTGAGTAGCAGGGCAGGAGGCCAGGGCAGCTTCACTCCTATGGGCTCTTTTGTTATGACTGTGGCATGGCCTGGCCTCCAGAGGACCCACCCTGGCTCTAGACTGAGTGCTGAGGGAAGGCCTTAGCCCACTGGGCAGGCAGCCTGCATGTGTCTTCTAGGTTCTGGGCATGTGGGATATAGTTAAGGTTCTTATGAGTGTTAGTGTTCTGACAGATGCCCAAATGCCAGCAAAGGGGAGCAGAAGAAACAATGCCATCTAATCAGGAGAGGGGAGTGGTCCAGGGTGTGGCATCCAAGCCAACTTCTGCCCTCTAGGGACCACTGCCTCCCTCAGCGGCACCTCGTCCTCCCTCCACCCGACACCTGGGCCCCTGCTCCTTCCCCAGTGCCCTCCCTGTGGGGCTCTGCCAGCTGTGCCCTGTGCTGTCTCTCTCTGCCTTCCAAAGGCGGGCTCTAACTCCAAGGACCACGCTGAGGAGGCCTGGCCAGCCTGGCCCTGACTGGTGTCCTGCTGACCCTGCTTCCCTCTCTCCTGCAGTACTCCTCCAGCATGAGAGCCAAATACCTCGCCACGAGCCAGCCTCGCCCTGACTCCAGCAGCAGTGGGCACTAGACCGCGTGCTGACCGGCCACCTGCCCCATGTGCCAATCACCCCCCCAGGCCAGCACTGCTGCTTGTGCCCCGCGGCTGCCTGCTGGACCCTTCGAACGCCAGCTTGGTCCCTCTGCTGCCCCTTTCCCTTCCTCTCCCCATGCAGGGGGGTGGAATGCCCACCCAAGCCTGGTCATACATCTGGACAGACACTGCTGCCACTCTGGCCTTCCCTGGCCACCTGCTCCCCACATCTCACTGTCCCCTCAGGCTCACTAAGCCACACCAGGAGCCCCATTCCTGATATACTCCCTCTGCAGATGGCCCTCCCGACTCTGCTGTCTGCTGCCTGCCGCATTGGGTCTCCCCCTGCCCTTCCCTTCCACAGTGCTGACCCCCCTCCCCTCGTGTATCACTTCTTAGTTCACAGGCAGAGCAGCAGCCCCTCTGTCTGGCATCATTGGCCACAGATGGACAGATGGGCTCCGCATGTAGGAACCCTCCACATACCTGTCTCTCTACAGCATCCGGCACCAGCCCCCTCATCCATGCAGCTGCCCTAACCACAAGTTCACGTCCTGCCATCACCCAGAGCTGCTCTCCAAGGAGGCCTTTCTTCTGCCTCCTGCCCAGCATTGCTTTGTCCCCCAGCAAGTGCTACCCTCCCCAAGGCACCCAGCCCTCCGTGGACAGCAAGTGCCACACAGCCTTTCAGTGCTGGCCACCTTCTTGGTGCCAAACCCTTTCTCCCCACCTCAAAGACTTGGCAGCTTCATCTGGTTTGTTTTTTGCACTAACCACGTTTGTCATCTCTAGGGCAGGCCAGAGCAGCAGCTGAGCAGTACCGCTGCCTTGGTCCTCCCTCGGTTCCATTTTTACCCAGGACAGATGCAGTGTCCCTGGAGCCCAGCCTCAGGGGCTGGACCTGAGCCAGCCATGAATGTGCACCCAGCCCCTGCTGCCCTTCTTGGGACTAACCACTAACCTCACTCCCAGCCTCCACGGGTGCCCCTCGCCAACCCAGAGCCAGCGAGTGTGACCCAAGTCCAGCCTGGAGCCAAGGCCCAGGATGGCCAGCTGGAACCAGGGCTGGAGTAGCAGTTTCTTCATGGGGTGCTGCTGGGGACAGGCTGCATGCAGATGGACAGGCAGCTCAGAGGGCCTGGAGACCCCCTCCCCTGCCCAGGCAGGTGCCGCCCAGGAGGACTGCGTCCGCAGGGTCTTGGGCTCAGGTTTCCATGACTTCAGTCCCCCTTCCTGTGAAGCGGGAACAAGGCTTCCCGATGGTGCTTTTGGCTTTGGTGTACGATGTTTGCTGTGCTTCCTGCCATTGTGGGGTATAGTACCAGCCCCCAAATTAGGACCTTGAGGTTCTGTCCTTTTGGCCCTAGCTCTGGCCTAGCAAGTTGACATGGTATAGTCTGGTTCAGGCTCTGGCCATATGCCAAGGCCAGAGTGGCAGGGCCAAATAGACCATGGCTCTCTCTCCTGGAGCAGCAGGCAGATACCTGCCCAGAATCACCCTCTCCTGGGGTGACCTTCATCCTGCCCTTCTTCCAAAACCCTTCTTTGTGCTGGTGTCTGGGACCAAAAGGTGATGGGCAGGGGAGGTAGTGGACCTAGAGCCCCCAGCCTGTGTGTGTGAGCCCCCAGTGTGATCAAACCTCATGGAAGGGACTGCTCTGCTCTAGGTGGGGAGCCACCGAGGCTGGCCATAGCCAGCCTGCTTGGCCTGCTGCAGGCATGTTCCTGGCTGCAGGCCTGGAGGGCAGTGCCTGCCGTGTGCTCCAGGACCCGCTCAGAAGCACAAGCGCTGCCAGCGGCTGAGAGCTACCCACAAGGTGAATGTACATAGCATGAAAGGCAGGTGCTGCCCAGGTGTGGCCATGAATCTGTGTTATCTTGGGAGTCCTGCCGTTGTGTGAGTGCGTGCGTGCGTGTGTGCGTGCGTGTGTGCGTGCGTGTGTGTGTACACGCACACATGTGTTCTGTCTGTGACTCTTCACCCACTGAGGCTGAAGAAAGGAAAGGGGAATAAGGGGTTCATACCCCAATCTCAGTGGCTCCTGCCCTTGGTTTTCTTTCTGTTCTGAGTTTTGGTGCCCCTTTGTTGACCACTCTCCATGTCACCACACCTCCTAGGGTGTCAGGCTGGGAGCCTCTGCCACTCCCACTCAGCCCTCCTGGGCTCTGGAGTATGCATGTGGCTTGACCACGTGGGGAGTAGGAGGCCATGGGGGCTTGGCCACCACTTCACCCCAGGGCCATGCCTGAATGCCAGGCCCTCCCAAGCCAGGTGAGGTGGGATAGTACAAGGGGCCTGGCTGAGAACACCCTAAACCTTCCTGACACCCACCCCATCTCACTATGCAATTCCAGGTCCCTACCATTGCCCCCTAACCCAGGTCCTATTCTGCCCAGCCTGGAGGGGGGTGAGTTGGCAGCCCCTGGCCCCAGTGACCAGGGCCTTTTGTGTGGGAATCTTTGTTTAGCCATGATGCTTGTGTACCTGCCCTATTATTATATATACGGTTTTGTTGAGTGCCCCCACCCCTGCATTTTGCCCTGTGTGCATTAACACCAAGCTGCACCGGGCCCACACCCCTCAGCCTCTGTAGGCCCGTGGCTGTGTGTCCTGTCGCTGTGTTTTTGTTTTCTAAAACTGGGTTTTGGGTTTTATCTTTATTTCTTTGGGGACTTTTATTTTTCTTGGCAAATACTAAAAATCTCGTCATTGTAATTTCTGTGGTTTCTATTCAGCTTGGGTTTCATGTTTTAAAAATAAACACATTTTAAAGAACAGGTGGCTTCTGAGTTCATCAGGAGGGCCCTGGCTCTACGCTGCTTGTAGGGTGAGGCAGGGACTTTGATGGGGGGGGACAGACCAGCAGGACTAGGGGGTCAGGAGGAGATCTATGGAGCTCCAGGGAGATACCAGGACCAAGGAAGGGCCATGGCCTCGGTGAATGTGGTGGGGCCCTATGGACTGCAGCTGGCTCTAGGGGTTGTAGTGGGCATGGCAGTGTGGTCTTAGCTGGGGAGAGAGCATGCTTTGCAGTCCCACTGCTTAGCGTGGGCATGGGATGGGGCATGTGAGGAGGTACTTCCCCAGCAGAGGTCCTTGCCCGGGCTCAGCATGGGCATGGTGGGGGGGCCAAGGGCCAGGATGGAGCCATGGGGTTCCCCACAAGACTGTTCATCCTTTCTAGAAGCAGCACCACCCTGCCTCTGAATCCTCCAGGCCTGTGGTGGGAGTGGCCTGGTTTCCTATGAAAAGCAGGTTCCAGAGGGTGAGGCAGATCCTTGAGGCCATGCCACACATAACTGCAAGTGACAGCACCTACCTCCCAGGGAGACATCAGGCTGTGAAGTTGGCAGGGCCTTCGACCCACAGTGTTTGGGGCTTTGGAAAATACCTGGGGCACTGTCTCCTAACTTGGGCTCACATAGACGCCAGCAGGTCACCAAAAGCCCCAACTAGAGCTTTCAGGATAGACTGCAGCTGAGTGTGGTGGTGCACATTGTAATCCCAGGACTCTAGGAGGTTGAGGCAGGAGGATCACTATGAGTTTGAGGCCAGCCTAGGCTACGTGAGTTCAAGACCAGCCTTCACTACATAGACTTTGTCTCAAAAAGGGGGGGGGGGTATTGAAAAGAAGGGATTGGGGCTGGGGAGATGGCTCAGTGGAATAAGCTCTTCCCTGGTAAGTACAAGGGCCTGAGTTCAATTCCCGGTTCCATGAAAAGAAAAGGGACACAGGAGGTGCGCTCTGGAGAAGAGTATATGGAGCTCCAAGAAAAATAAGACGTTGGCAACTCCATGGAATTACGTGATAAGACCCGTGATATGGGGACCCTGGGCACTTAGGCCTAGATGCCTAGAAAGCTCCAGGCTTGGGGTGACAGCCAGGGGACATGAAGAATGACCTCAGATACCCATACTCTGGGACCTCAGTGCACCATGTATATCAGGAAGGGTAAAAACTAATATCCTGGCTGGTTTATACCTGTAATCCCAGCACTCCAGGAGGCTGAAGCAAAAGCACAAATTAAATTCCAGCCTGGGAAATTTAGTGAGACCCTGTCTGAAAATAAAAAACAGCTAGGGATGTAGTTCAGGGCACAAGCCCTGGGTTCAGTCCCCGGACCAGAGGGAAAAAAAAAAAATACGCTGGGGCCTAACCAGAGGTGGTCAGCTCACCCCAAAGGTGTTAGGCTTGGCACTGTTCTGGGCACTGTCCTGTGGAGCGGTGGAGCCCAGCCCTACTCTGCTAATACTCCAGGGGTGGGGGCAGAAAACAGAAGGGGACAGAACCATGTGAAGGCTGCAGGACAAAGAGCCCTGGCTTGCAGTGGGGAGGCAAGCAGGACAGGTGAGCTTTTGACGGGCAAGAGAAACCTCCTTGGACATGCAGTGGCCAGAGAGAACAGAGGTCAGTGCTCACATGAGACCCCACTGCTGCTGGAATAAATTACTGTGAACTCAGTTGGCTCAAAGCAGCTGTATTATTGTACAGTTCCAGAGGTCAGAAGTCCCTTTGAGCTCTTAGTCAAGGAGTTAGAAGGGCTGTGTTGCTAGGGGGTGGCTTCCGGGCCTTTCCAGCTTCCAGAGCTGCCCTCATTCCTTGGCCCAGAGCCCTTTCCTCCTTCCTCAAAGTCAGCAGCAGGGCCCGGGAGATGGCTCAGTGGAATAAGAGCTTCCCTGGCAAGCACAAGGGCCTGAGTTCCATCCCCGGTTCCACCAAAAAAAAAAAAAAAAAAAAAAAAGTCAGCAGCATAGCACCTTGGGTGTGTTGTTCTTTTGTGTGGGGGGGGTGGGGAGCTCAGCCCACCAGGGGGCGGGGCTGGCTGGCATGTGGTGCTGGGGGATTGAACCGCGGTCCCTGTGCTTTGCTAAGCTTGTTCTAAGTAGGTGCTTTAGGCCACTGAGCCATCTCACCAGCCCATGATGTGTTGTTCTGACAATGCTCCCCAATCCTATTTTAGGGCAGGCCCCTTGTGGTTACATCCAGCATACCTGGTTAATCCACAGTAATTTTGTCTCAAGATCCACTTTGCCATGTAAAGTCCATAATCACAAGATCCTGGAATAGATGTGAACAGCTTTGGGAGCTGTTATTTTGTCTACTATGGAAGCTTCCCTTAGGGTTATGCGAGCAAAGAGGGTTCCAAGCAGATACAATAGACAGTGCAAAGGCCTGGAAGCAGATTCTGCTGTGGTGCTTTGAATGAAAGAGAAGTGTCTGGAGAGGAGGGAGGGAGGGACAGGGAGAGTGGTTAGAGTTGGGGGATTACCAAGGGCCTGTGGGTCTTGCCAGAATTTTGAGCTTTATCTTGAGGGAGCTATGGCAGGTCTGAGCAGAGTGATGCTCATTTTAACAGAATCATCCTGGCTGCTGAGTGGGGAAGGGGACAAAGCAGAAGCTGCTGACCCATTAGGAGGCTCCTGCCATGGTACAGGTGAGAGCTGCTGGCAGCAGGGCTGAGGCAGGGCCAGGGCCAGGGCCGGGACTGACAAGAAGGGTCTGGCTTGTGGAATGAAGGTACTGCTGACAACACTGCCTGGTGGGCTAGCTATGAAGTGGGGTTTGGGTTGAGTGTTGTCATAAACTGAGGGCATGGGTTTGGAGGTCAGAAGCCCAGTTATGCACACAATGAGCCAGAGGTCTTTTTTACATCATTGATGCAGAGGTGGGCGCTCAGGGAACAGTTTCCTTGCAGTCTCTGGAGGAATCCCAGGGGTGCTGGTGCACTGGACGCCACATGAAGGCATAGTGTCAAGGGGGGATAAAGCACACATCAAATGAGACTGATGGTCAGAGATGGCAGATTCAGGGCCAGCAAGATAGCTCAGCAGACTAAGCGCCTGCTTAGGTAAGTGCAGGAACCAGGGTTCGATCCCCAGCACCACATGCCATGCTGACCCCACCCCCAGGGAACACTAAGCCAGCCTCTGAGACTGGGCATGATGGCACATTTCTGTAACCCCAGTGCTGGGGAGGCTGAAAACAAGAGGATCACTACAAGTCCTAGCTGCGAGTTCAAACTGTGTAGTGAGACCCTATACCAAACACATTAAGAGAGAGAGAGAGAGAGAGAGAGAGAGAGAGAGAGAGAGAGAGAGAGAGAGAGAGAGAGATGGCAGATTCAGTGACCTGAATGCCTAGTGGTTCAACTAGACAGGACTGAAAGCCCAACAGTGGGTGCTGGGCAGCAGCTTGGGAAAGGTACTATTTTCAGGAGACAGTTAACCAGCCTATTGAGGAGGTGAGCTGTAAAGCAGAAAAAGTGAGATACTGTTTGCAGGGTGGAGGCAGAGAGATGCTCCATGTGTATGTGTTTTACAGTGAGAAATGACACTACACTGGTAGGAGCTGATGGGGCCCACCCAGCACAGAAAAGAAAGTGACTGTCAGGAGAAGGAAAAAATAATTGGTAGATTTTTTTCCCCTAATACTCAAATTTGGATGCAGGGCTTTACAGAGCTGCTTCCTCAGCCCTCCCCTCGACACACACCAACTTTTGGCACAAGGTCTTACTAAGTTGTCTAGCCTGGGGTCAAAATTTTCAGTCCTTCTACCTCATCTGCTGGGATTACAGGTGTGTCGTACCCCACCCAACTAAGACTTCTTGAGTAACCAAGGAGGGTTGGGTGCTATGGCCTGGGGAGGGCTGGCTACAGACTCATGTGGCCAGCCCTTTAGATGAGGGTTGTGGGTGCGGCGGTAGGGTCCTGTGAAATAGGAAACAAGGTGTTAGAGAGTCTGGGGAGGGGAGAGGCTTGCAGGAGAGGGGTTGGGGGCACTATTGAGGGACCCCTGAGGTCCAGATTCTGGAACAAAGTGAAACTAGCCTGGGGCAGAAGCTAGTTAGACTTTTCTCAGGTCACGTGCAACCCCTAGGACAGGTGGCCAGCCTCCTATGACCAGGTCCCAGGTGCTAGCCTGGCCCTCAGGAGACAGAAGCAGCAATGGGAGCTGAAGGTGAGATCAAACCTACAGCGCCTGAGATTTTAGCCAGATGACATCAAACCCTCGAGGGGGACCGTGGGAAGGGAAGAATCCCTAAGGTCGGGAGACACGTGGAGGGCTGGACAGAAGGCAGAGGCAGAGCAGATGCGGTAGGCAGAGAGGATCCAGGCTGTGAGGGCAGGGTGGAAGGTGGTACAGGAAAGGGGAGAGTGGCCTCACCAAGGACTTCAAGGACGGATGGGACAAGATGTGCAGGAGACAGCAGCCAGGATCCAGGACTTGAAATAGTCTCTGAGCAAGGGGCCTGTGAATACTTACGTGGGGAGCAGAGATTTAAGCTTTGGGGGCCACCACGGGAGTCTAGAAACAGGAAGCGCTGGGACCCGCCAGTGCCAGCAGAGGGCGCTGAGTCCTCAGCTGCTGAGTCCGCAGCGGTGGAAGGGTGAGCTCCTCTGGGGCTCCTTCCCTGGGGGTCTGGGGATCAGCATCCCCGCAAACACCCAGAGTGCCCTGCGGCTCAGCGGGCAGGCAGGAGCCTGCTGGAGAGGCGTGGCATGGTCCCTTTGGGAGGACGTTATCAGACCCATCTCCTTTAAGACTTCAGGAAGTCTGGGGCTGTCTGGAAGTCAAGCTCTGCCCCGATGCTTGACATTCTCCATTTTGCATGAATCAGATGCTGGTAAATATGCTCCGAGTCATTGGTAACGGTGTTCAGTGAGCTTCGAAGAACAAACACAAGGTGCTGTGGTCACTTCTTTCCTCCCCTTGGCCTGCATGCCTAGGTCCCAGAGAGGGTCTTAGGAATAGCAGGATTCAGACGGGAGACCCGCTGTGGCCGCCAGATGGCGCCCAAGGACTGTGACTGGTCGTATTGAGCGTAAAGGCTGGAAGTTGGAGGCTAAGGATACAAGGCAGAACAGCCACAACTCTGGGGACCCCGTTCTTCATGACAACATCAGGGCAACCTCTAGAGGTCAAAATGAGGGGCCTTTTGGTCCGAGTCCTACCTATGGATGCCCCAAGTGCCTTTGGGGGTGTTTTTGGAGGAATCACCTCCAAGAATGCCAAATAAGACCGGGACTGGGATGGCAGGTCTAGCAATTGTCTTGTGGACACAGAAGTGGGTCTGGGCCTGACCCCTTGCTTCCCTCACAGAGGGGGCTTGGAGAAGCCACATAGCAGGTCTGGTGGGAGGACCTGGGATCCCGCTCCGCAGCCCATGCTACCTCCCAGCCTTCAGGCCTCCAGCCAGCCCACCCTCTGCACCTTTCCCTGGTTCATGCCAAGGGCAATGCCTCGTTCTCCCCATTTCACAAAGCCTTCCCATTGCAGCCAAGAAGTGCCTCTTCCAGGATGTCAGTTTTGGGGACCCCAGTCAGAGTCCATTTACCCCAGGCCCAGCCCAGCCCTGTCCAGGCCACTGCACACCCCTGTCCCCAACTCACCTGGAAAGCAGAAGCTGGGGTTAGGAGGTCTGAGCCTTGCCCCCACCCTGAGGACCCAGCAGCCTGCAGTTTTACTTTTGAGTTTCACAAATGATGGGCAGTTTGGGGAGGAGCTAGCCAGGACTCTTGACTGGCCCCAGCCTGGGTGTGGGTTGGCAGGATGATGCCACTGTGTGTGTGTGTGTGTGTGTGTGTGTGTGTGTGTGTGTGTGTGTGTGTAGGCGAGCCATCCTCAGAACCTGCCTGTGGAGAGAGGTGGCTTCCTCTCATGCTCTGGGGCTCAAGAACCCCTTCCTTGCTTGCTGAGGGGTTAGGAGGAACCAGGTACCTGGTGCCTTAGGGCCGCTCCTCCATCTACTTCTCCTTCTTGGGGGAGCAACTTCCCTGCTCAGCTTCTGCCTGGGACAGGAAAGGCCCAAGGCTGTGGGTCTGTGTCCCTCCCATCAGCTAGAGGCCCAAGCTGGGGAAGGCAGGCAGGGTACCCCAAACACTGCTGTTCCCATTTTGGGCCATCTGACCAGCTGGGATGATAGACAGATGGTTCCAGTACTGACAGATGGCCCACCTGTCCCAGATGTCCACACAGCTGTCCTGGCTACATGCCCCACTACACCTTACTCTCCCACCCCCTCCTACTCACAGCTCTTTTGAGGCTGGTAGCAGCTGCTGAGGCAGTGTGGGGGACCAGAGAGCACCCTGCCTCTGACTCACCCAGGCAGGAAGGAGGCATCTGGGTTTTGCCTACAGCCTGTTCTGCTGTGACACCCCCACCCACAAAGTGTCAACTTCCTTGTTCAGAAGGTACATCTCGTGCCATCCAAGAGTATACAGCCATCATCTCCACCAGGCCCTGCACCCTGTTGATACCAGGGACAACAGCAGCTAAGTCTGGGGGTACCCCTACCACAGGAGCCAGGACACTGACTTAGCCACTGCCCATATCCCACAATGCCACGGCCTTTGGAAAGTATACCCTGCTGCTGACTCAGGCCTCCCCATGGTCACGTCCCAGCCAAGGGCAGCCACAAGCAGAGGCTAAGAGGAAGGGAGCCCATTGGGGGTGCCGTGCACACAGGCATCTGTCTGGCAGGGAAAGGAGCTAGTGAGGGTCTCCAGTGTGTCAGGGAGGGGGAGGTCCCTTCCAAAGAGCTCTGCCTATAACATTGAGCCACAGAAGCACTGGATAAAGGGAAACCTGGGGCAGTCAGGCCAGAGCAGGTGCCTATGGGGGGGACAGGGTGGGGAGGGGGGCAGCTTAGTTTGAAGAGGAGGAAGTGAGACAGCAGGAAGGGGGTAGGGAGGGGACTCCCCAGCTGAGGCTGTGTGTCACTCAAAGGCTGGATTTGAGGAAGAAAGGCCCCTGCAGAGCTCTGTCCTTACATGAGTCTAGACCCCTGTCCATATTTGGGATTTGTGAAGGTGAGGGCAGGTCCAGCAAGGCAGAGGGCATCTGGGCACTGCCATCCTGGGAGGGTCCTCCAAGCTCCCCATGACACGAGGAGAGTTTGGGTCTAAATGTCAGCAGCTCCAGTGCCTCACCCTGGGTATTATCTGTCTGGACCTCAGTTTCCCCATCTGTGGAATGGATGCAGTGAACTTGTGATGGTGATATAGGTGGGTAGAAAGGAGCCAGGCTTGGCCACAGTAGTCACTGATCCTCTTGCAGGAGGGAATGAGCTTCAGAGCCTAAAGCTGCTCCCTTGGCTGGGTCTTATCCCCGAAGCCTGCTGGCCAGTGACCCCCTGCATTGGGTTAGCCATTTCTCTGGGTTCAGCCAGCAGATAATTTGTTATATAGTGCAGGATGGCCTCGAACTCAGCGATTTTCCTGCCTTAGCCTTCTGAGGGTGCTGGGATTACAGGCACGCATCACTATGCCTGGCTACCAGCAGATATTTTAATCAAAGTTTCCTTCTAAAATAGTTGGCTTATATGGTCATGTCTTGGGTACTGGATTGAGCCCAGGAACTTCACACTGATCTGCATCCTCAGACTTTTTTATTTTTTGAGGCAGGACCTCAAAAATAGCCCAGGCTGAGCTTGAAATTACAATCCCCCCATCCTTCCAGAGTGCTGAGGTTCCAGGAGGCACCCCCTCACTGGCAGGCTTGCAGGGTTTTCTACTTGCCTGCTTCCCCTGGAGCAAACCAGGTCTCCACTGCCTTCACCGTTGGCCCCATGGAACCAACATGATGGACCTGGAACTCAGGCCCAACTTCAAGCCAGGACCCAGAGCCGGGTTGCTGCAAAGAGCACCTTTATTCACAGCAAAAGGATGTCACCATAGCAACAACACTCCAATTCCCTGAGAGCTTCTCCCTTATCATCCGCTTTCCTAGCTATGTCTTTGCAAAGAGAACACAGAACACAGGATGCACCCCACAGGCCAGGTGAGAGCCACACTGAGCCAGGTGGTCTGGGGGAAGGGAGGGGAGGGGGATTCCAGATGCTGGAACATATAAATACAGTGTGGGTTAGACATTCCCAGGTCAGCTTTACAAACAAAGGGGATCCCAAGTTTGGTGTCTGCTTTTTCTGATCCACAGAAAGCATAAAATAAGACCCTCCCCCACCCCCTGAAACAACACACAACCCACCCCCCTTTCAAAAACAGCACAGTAAAAAAATACTGTCACAATATTTACATACACGCCCACTGTGGGCGACATTCTCTCTACTTTGGAGAGGAGATAAAATGTTCAGCTCTGCCTCCCCCAATCGGGGAGACAAAGGCAGGATCGCAGGGGCCTGGGAAGACTTCCCAACCCAAAAGGGCTGTTCACTAGCTGCACAATCACTGGGGGGAATCCTGGGGTCACTAGGATGGGACAGTGGCTGCCGTTACTCAGAGCCACACACATGGTGCCAGAACTCCTAGGAGGAGGGGAGCAGGCTTCTCACCCCCAACAGTTTCCCCTGCCCCAAGCCTGGCTCAGGACTCCAGGCCTGTGCTCCGCAGGGAGGGGCACCCACATCCCTGCAGAGAGGCCATGAGCACAGAGATCCAAAACTCGAAACAAAGCAGAGCTGTCCACAGAGGGACCACAGGGCGTGGGGTCCTCTTGCCAGCTCCTCAAGGAGCGAAACTGCCCAGCAGCCCGCTGCCTGGTGAGCATGTGACAAACACACAAGAGTGTGGCCCTGGAGGAGCCTTAGGGCCAAAGCCAGGGTGGCACAACAAGGTCCCTGGGGCCTTTGGATACCAGGGGCACCCAGGGACAGGGGTCTCAGCCATGGCTGCTAGAAGATGGCGGTGCGGGGACACCAGGGTGTGTCCGGGTACAGGTGGCAGTGGATGGAGCGGAACCTGCAGGGACAGAGTGGATGGGTGGTCCATGCAGGGCAGGGTGCCGAGTGCCACTTGCAGTCCTCCTGCACCCATGGAGGCCTACCCACCCCCCAAGCAAAAAAGCCAAAGACAGCAGCAGCAGTCCTGCTGGGGCTTCAGTTTCCTCACCTAGATGGGTCAGCCTCCACTGAGAAGGGGCCCTTCACATGGACAGCATTCCGCTTGTTTTCAAACATCCCATAGCTCAGGGTCACCTGTGGAGGGAAGGGTCAGGTGATGCTGGAGGGGCCTGGCCGTGCCTGGTCCTTGGACAGGTTGTCCCCCTGACTGAGGATGCCTGCTCCAAGCAGCCCAGGAATGAAGTCCAGAGTAGGGGCTGCAGACATAAACAAGGGAGTATCTACTGACTCCAAATGAAAGGTGTGGTGCAGGTAGGTTCTCCCAAAGGTAAAGGATGGAAGGATGGCACTGGCAGAGACCCTGGTGCCCAGTGGCAGCTGACAGTGGGGCTTCTCCTGATCTCCCCCTTGATTTACTTTTCTGTGGTACTGGGGATTAAACTGAGCACTTTAGTTAGCACTGGGCTACATCTCCAGCCCTCTTTGATTTTTATTTTGAGACAGGGTCTTCCTAAGTCACTAAATTGCCCAGGCTGGGTTCAAACTTGTAATCCATACACTCCTGCTTCAGCCTTCTGGATTGCTGGGATTACAGTCACACCCCACCCCACCTAGCTCGACCTTCCTTCAAGACAGTGTCCAACTCGTGTTCTCTGGGCTCCCCCCGCCCAAGTTCCTCCTGGTTCTATGCTCAGTCTTCCTGTGCTCACTCAGTCCTGGCCGGGCCTGGGGATTGCGCACCTGCTCGTGGAGTTCAGAGGCAGGCACCTGCTGCAGGTTCTCCAGGTGTGAGTGGAAGAGGCCACTGCGGATGAGGGGCACGCCCAGCAGAGCTTCTATAATGTAGCCCACAGTGCAGTCGTCTGGCAGCCGGATGCGCTCCGCAGTGCTCATGAAGTGGCCACCACTGCAGGAGGGAAGGGCAGGGACAGTGAGCAGGGGCAGCTGCCCATGGCAGGCCTGGGTAGAACTGCACAGCCTGGGCAGAGAACAGGCAGATGTGCCTGAGGGACAGGGTGAGGAACATGCAGTGTCTTCTGCCCCAGCGCCACTTCCTCCTCTACACCAGCTCTGCTGCACCCTGGTGGAGGGGGGCAGGGTTCTAACACAGGAAGGGGCCCTGTTCAATGGTACATGGGGTGCTACTGCCCCTGGTGCCTGCTCTGAGCAGGGCAGCTGTGGAGGAAGTGGCTGTGTGTGCAGCTGCCTCTGAAGCCTAGGAAGGAGGGGGCAGGAGGCAGGCAGAGCTAACACACAAGGCTGGGACCCTACTGCAGGCAGGACTTGACAAGGCAGGCCCTGCAGCCTCGTGGGACCCCGAGACCACTCACTCACCTGGCCCATGGGCTCATTTTCAGTGCCAGCCCCCGGCTGATGCAGAAGCCAGCCCCACCGGTGGCAAACCAGAAGTGTACAGGACGCTAGAGACAGGAAGATGTCATGAGGCTGCAGGAAAGGACAGTCACCAGCCTCAACCCACCCGGGCCCATGGAACTCACCACCCTGTTCTCACTGACTCGCTCTGTAGCCTGGATGGGCCGGTCCAGGCTGGGCTTGCCGATGTAGATGTCCTGGGAGTGTGGGTAGCTGGCCAGTAACCGAAGCAGGGCCCGCAAGTTGACATAGTTGTCATCATCCACATGGCAGAACCATCTGAGGGCAAGGCAGGACCATGAGGAGGGCACCTTCAGATAACGGAAAGTGCCAGTGGGGTGTGGGCAGAGTGGGGGAACTCCTGAGGCCAACTCACTTCCTCCCGGACTCAATGAAGTGGTCATACTCCACAGCCATCTTGCAGGACAGCGCCTGGCGGCTGTGGGCTGCTGAGCAGTTGGTGTTGACCACGTTGCCTGCAGGGGTGGGAGTGCTGTGAGGGCCTGGGCACCAGCAGGGGCCCCCAGGTACTCCCCTCACCCTAATGCAAGGCTGAGGCCCAAGGACCCTCCCACAGCCCGCCCCCTCCCCAGGGCGCCCCGCCCCTACCCATTCAGCCAGCTTTTTCCCAGCACCCGCCACCTGTTGCCGCTGGCCTGGCTCAAAGAGACCTTGAGGGCTGAAAGGGCCTCGTTTGCATGAGAATTGGGGGCCCGAGTGGTGGGGCGGAGCATTGAGCAAACCCTTGAGTAAACTGCCCTCCTAGCCCCTCGGCCCCTGACCTCTCTCGGCCCCTGTAGAAGAGGAAGGAGGAATATTTGCTCTGAAGGAAGGCACCCCTTCCTGCCCCCCAAGCCCAGGGCTCACCCGTGTGCCTGGCCAGCACTTCATCCTCCCCGTCGGTGAAGATGAATGTCTGGAAGGAGAGACACGACCCTAGCTGCAGTTTGTGTCTTGGACCCTGGGCCATGGTGTATGGGGGGGCAGTGCTGGGTCCCCTGGAGTTTGGAAGTTACAACTCTAGACAGCCCTTACCACCAGCACTCACCTGCCTCCCATACCCCCACTGCTTTCTAGGGCTCAAGTACCCAGGGCAGGTGGCAGCTGGGTGGGGGGCCTTATTCTCTAACCTCCACAGCTGGGCCCAAGGTTACCTAGGCAGCTGGGAGGCATGAGCCAGGTGGGACACCCCACCCACTCAACAGGTAAACGGCTCCTGGCCAGCCCGCCCAGCCCGCCCGGCGCACCTGGTGGCACACACCCTTATTGACACAGTGTCCGCCTGTGGGCTTCAGGGCCACAGGAGGAGGCAGGGGACAAGCAAGAGCTTTGGGAAGCCAAGTCTCAGTCACTTGGGTCGGGGACAAAGGCCTCTGCTGGGTGGCTGCCAAGCCCTGGCAGACAAAGGGCCCGGAGGGAGGATGAATCACCAAGTATTGTCGGCTGGCTTTGTCCTGGGCTGAGCAGCAAGGGGTGCTGGCGGCCTTAACTCGGGGAGTTAAGCAGGAGTGGCCATGCCGTCATTACCATACAGCTGGCCTGGTTAACTGGGCCAGGCTGGGCAAGAGGTCCTCGGGCAGGGGTGTGGCCACCAGCGCTGCAGCCTAAGACTGTGCGTTAAGCCACTCCCCCAGTGTGGGACCAGTGTGGCTGGTTACCCTCTGCCGAAGTTGTCCCCAAGGTTCTGTGAGATGGCGCTGGTCAGTGCAGTGGTGACAGGAAAGGGCTCAGGTCCCCAGTCTCAGATGAGGGCCCCAGACCCCTCCTGCTGCTCAAGCAAGGCATCGGCTCATTGGCAGGGGACTGTGCCCTGCCCAAGGCCAAATCGAAGCTCCACCTGCGCCGGCACCCAGCCATCCTGCCACCCGCCAGGATTGCTCTGCGGAAGAGGAGGGGGCCATTGGGTGGGGTGAGGAGCTGCCAGTGCCCGCCTGGGCTCGTCTGCACACGGGGAGGTATGTGCCTTCCTCTGCCGGCCCGCCCAGCGCGTGCCGCCTGCCACGCCCCCACAGGACTGAGCGCGAGCCTGGGGCGGGTGGGGGTGCTCATAGCAGACAGTGGGGGGTTCCCGTACCCACTGGGCCTTCCTTTTGTGTACACACAGGTCCAAGGGAGGCTCCAGCACTTGTGGGCCTGGAGCATATCACACCCTTAGCTATCAGGGACCTCTACAGGCCAGAAAGCAGTGACCCCACACACCTGGACATTCCTAGCTTTTGGCCCAGCAGGATCCTGGACCTGGACATACCTTCAGGTGAAGCTCTCAGCGTAGTCAAAGACCCCTAACTTCGAGGATGAAGTCTATAATGTCTATACCATCCCCACAAACCCACTCTCCCCTTGTAGGGCCCAGCAGACACCTGGATGGGTGCACACTTGCACCCAGCCCCCAACCTGTGCCCCAGCACCCTAGCCCAGGAATGCCGTGGGAGGCAGAGCGGGCTGGCCCGAGCAGACACTCCGGTGCGCTGCAGGATTAAAAGGAAAATGCTTTCTTAATGAGATCAAGTGAGGCCTGTTCTCCCTCGTTTTGGTGGTATCCTAAAAACCCAGCCCAGGGCTATGGGAGATTAAAGTCACCTTTGTTCCGCCCTGGAGTGGGCAGGCCTCCTGGAGAATCAGAGATCCGCTTGGAGGGCCCGGGGTGCTGAGCCTCATCTCCCCAACATAACCACCAGGAGAAAAAGAACAGGGGCTACAGCCACAGGCCACCACCTCCTTCTTCATCCAGACTCAGTTTCCTTCTCTGTAAATGGGCTCAGTAGTGCTCATCTATGTGGAGCAAAGTGCTAAGCACAGATCGTCCTTTCCCTAATCGTCACCATCACCACCCCAAGTATATACAAGTGGGGAAACTGAAGCTACGGTCACACCTTGAGGCCTCCTAAGAGCCTACACGCACACCCCCAACTTCCCGAAGGAGGAGAATCAGGGTAGTGAGGGCAGCAGTACTGGACAAGGCCTGGCGGGGGGGACACCCACAGGAAGCGGCATTGTTCCTAGAGCCTTGATTCAAAGAAACACAGGATGCCAAGTTCTCCCCCAACCATTGTGGCTGCTGTGGTGGCAGCCGCTGTTGCCTGGCGCGGTGGGGGAGGAGCAGTAGGCCTGGAGCCAGGCTCTTCACTCTGACCTCAAAGCCCTGCTGACCAGTCCCCCGACCCCCATCTCTTCAGTGGTTGGAAGCTTCCTGAACATCCCCTAGGTTCTGGAGCTCATGCCCCAAGGCACTCCTGACTCAGTAGGGTACAGAAGACACCTCTCCCAGGAAGCCTTTCCAGCTTCTCCTGCAGACAGATGCTGGTTGGATCGCACAGCCTCTCCAGTGTCCCCACTGAGACCAAGTCTGAGTTGCACTGCACGGGCCAGGAAAGTCGGCCATGTGCTACAAGTTCCAAAGACCCCTGCCCACAACACATTAGCAGGGCTGTGCTTGCTGTATGCATCTGAGTTGCTGATGTGAGCAGATTCAGCCTCTCCTAATGGGACAACCGTTCAACAAGGATCTAGAGACCCAGTGCAGTGATGGCACAACTCGAGCACCTACTGTATGCACCTGAGGCCTCCAAGTTTGTCTACTCCAAGTAGACAGTCAGAGAGGCCCAAGGTTTGCTCAAGATCACCCAACCCAGCTGAGACAGTTGAGACCCCCAACCATATCCTCTCCCCTGGAAAAATCTCCAAACTCCACTATGAGAGGTGTTCAGAGCTGGTTGGTGGCAGTCCAAAGGGGCCTGAATGCTGCCCTAGGTCACACAGTAGGAAGGACAAATGCTGAGGGAAGAGGGAGTCCCTGGCTCAGGGATGGTGCCCCACAAGAGTTGGGGGGGCAGGCCCCTCATCGCCAGGCAACCTGAGTGGCCAGCACGGCAGTGGCGGTTCCCATGGAGCACAGAGCTTCACACAAGAGGCCTGACGCCTTTCTTGCCGGAGAAAGGGGCTTTGTTACCTTGCCCATGGGGCCATCGTGAGAGCCGCCCAGCGCTGGGAATCCTAACGGCACCGGTCGCCAAACAAAACCCATGGCCCCCCGCCACCCCCTCCTGCCGGCCTCCTGAGCCCCTGGGAAAGGGGCGCCTGGTTCTCAGGAGGCTGCCATGGGGTTCCCAGAACTCCTCCAGCCAGGGCATTGCTCCCAGCCCCATCCTGAGATCAGCAGGGCCTTGTATCCTAACACTCACTTTGCCACAAACGGATTTCAAAGAAGCCAGAAGCCCTGGGTCTTAGGTCCTGGAACAGGGGTTAGGGATGTGGGATCTTCTCGGTGTTCCCATCCGCACCCCAGATACCCCTGAGCCTCCTGACCTGGGGCTGCTTCCCCACTGCCCCTGCAGGCCCCACCCCCTGCCCCGATCCGCCCTGGCCCAACCGTCTTGCTGTAGCCTCAGGGGAGATTTCAAAGTGGGGTGTGTCTTCATTAGTCTAGGAACAAGATGCCCTACTCGCCGAGTGAAGCGCAAAGCAAAGATCGAGGTCTCCGGGTCTCCCCTAAGAGGAGAGAAGACCTCGACAGACCATCCCCCCCCCCGTATCTTTCTTTCAAGATGCACTTTCCAGAACCCACCAGCCAACAGTGACTTGACCCCACACCACAGCGAACTGAAATGAGTAAGGGCCCCAGCGCTGTGCCCAGAGTCCCTACGCCGTCCCTTCACTTCTAAGGCACGTGCCCTTCTCCACGGGAGGGGTTGGGACCCCAGGGGCTAGAGGAAAATATGATTTGGGACGGGGGTGGAGGGTGAAAGTCCTTTTATAGTTATCACAAGCACCAACCCCAAACTCGGAGACTGCTGTAGGGTCGCTGCAGCGATCCAAGCCACCCAAGAGCCATCCAAAGCCATCCAAGGCTCTGGAGCCTAGCGGAGACGACCTCACACACACCCACAACTGTACGGACAGTGACCCTCAGGAGATAAACAGAACTCAAAGGGGCTGGATTGGCGTCAGCGGGCTCTAGGTAGATGACAGGGATGCAGTTACCCCTCAGCGGACAGCCCTTCCCAGAGGGAAAAGGCGGCGCGCCCCACCCCACCTGCCTGGCTAGACTGCGGAGACTCACCATCTCCTTGTGGCGCGAGATCCAAGTCTCCAGCAGCAGGTCTAGGCGCGCGCGGTGAAACTTCCTGGTGGTCTTGACCGCGATGAAGACATCGCGAGGGACCAGCGACTCGGCCGGGGGCCGCGGGTGGCGGTCGGCGGGACGGGAAGCGCCACCGGGCGGCTGGCCCGCGTCCCTGCGCGCGCGAGTCAACAGGCTGAAGTACTCGGACAGGCTGTGCACCTCGCGGGCGAGCACTCGGGGCGCCGCCGCTGCCCCCAACCCGGGTGCTGGCGGCACCAGGCTGTGCAGCGCGCGCCGGCCGCGCTCGGCGGGCACCGGAGGCGGTGGCGGGTCAGCTGTGAGCACCAGAAGGCAAGCGAGCAGCGCGCCCGCCAGCCCTAGCAATAGGCGCCGGCCGCAGCGCTTGAGCATGGTGGGCGCGGCCGGCAGAACGTAGTACCCAAGTTCTGGGTCCGGCGCGGTCTCTCAGCGCGCCACCAGAGCCCTAGGCTCTTAAACACCCGCTCATGCCCCGCCCCCAGCATGACAATTGGCTCTGGTCCTCAGGAGGCGGGGCATTCCCCACGTGGGTCCACAGCGGGGGGCTGGGAACCACTGTTGCCCCTCCCCCCGGCACACGTGCACTCCCCGCCCTGCCTAGGGTCGTCCGAGCCGCGGGGGATAGGAGGGTAAGCGGGGGTGGCTTGGGGCTTGGTCGGCCCGCGCCGAATGCGCCAAAAGGGGACCGACACCTAAGCTGACCAGCACTGGCCTGGGCTGCACTCGGCGCCCGGCACGCGCAAGGGCGCGCCCTCCGCGCTCTGGCCAGGGTGCCGCGACTCAGCTCCGGCTTGGGAGCCCCGCAGGGAATGTCCTGACTTCCCTCCGGAGTCCAGCTTCCTCCTCTGCGGACAAGCTGACGGGACAGACAAAAGCCGCCCCTGGATCATCCCCTTGTTCCTAGAATACCTATACCAAATTCCATCCCTTATCTGACTAACTACTTCCTTAAGCTGGGGTATGGTGGTATCCCCCCGAAGTCCTTAAGCGCCCAGTGGCGAGGAGAAACTAAGACCGCCCCTTTCCTCGCGGGATGAAAGGACGCCTTCTGTCCCATTTGGTCCCTCAGGGCTCCAGCCAGATGTGACCCAGCTGTGAGGCCGCTCTGCCCCGCCTTCCCGGCACGCGGCCCCAACCCCGGCCCTTCCCACGGGCCGGGACCGACCCCCTGCACGAGCGGAGGCGGGAGGAATGCGCGCCTGGAAGGTGGGTGAGGGGCTACGGCCGGAAGTGGCCTGAGGTTCCCCGGAGCGGGCACAGGCTCAGATCCCCTTTCCTTATCTTCTGGAAGCGCAACTGGGGGTGGCTCTCGGCTTTGCTGCGCCCAGGTCTGCACCAGGACTAAAGAGGCCCTGTGCGCTCACCATGCCTCCCAAGGCTGAGTACCCCACCCATTCTGCTCGCTGGCCCCTTTATGTCCACAGAGTTCATCCCTTTGCTGGATTAGGGTTCTCCTCTGCATGTCAAAGGGGCAGGACAGCGCTACCTCCTGGAATCCTGGCCTGAGAGGCAGGACCTGCCCTGGGCCATAATAGGGCTCTAGGAAGACTTCAATAGACGTCTGTCCCCACCCCCCCACCCCATAGAGAAGTCTTGGCCCATTTGCTCTAGGGGCCCCAGCCCCTCTGTGCTGGAGTAGGGTGGGGGTGGGGGTTCCCAGGCCTCTTCCGGATGGTCCCAGGTAATTAGCAGACGCCACCTCGCGCAGGCAAATGCCTATGAGCAGATGGTGCTTGCTGTGCCCAAGTGACAAGTCTCCCATGGCATCACCTCCTGCCATAAACTCCTCTCCATCAGCCTGACCCCAGCCCTGGAGCTTCCCATAAGGGCGGTGCCTAAGGGGGAAGGGCTCCCCAGAAGCCAGCCCAGCACCAGCCTCAGTATCTTTGCCCCCACATCCTCAACCCCACCAGTCTGCTTCCTGACCATTTGGAGTCTGAGCTTCCTCCATCCAGTCATCTCTGTCCTGGACCACTTGGCATCTTGAACCCTGATCTCCCTGTTCCCAGTGCCTGTACTATTTGTTCACACAGACACCAAGCAGCTCTGATTATGTCCATCCCTCTCCCATACGCTGTGCTCAGAAAGATCAAGCCTATGGCTTCTCTCACTGGTAGATTCAAAGGCCAGAACCAGTGTTCACACATTTTTTGGGACAGGGTCTCACTACACAGATTGGACTCGTAGTGATCCTCCTGGTTTCAGCCTCCCATGTCTCAGTCACGGTCTCAGCGCCCCTGGAGGTGGGGCTGCACAGACACTGGGGATGCAGCCTGGTCCCTGAGTCCTCAGGTGCTTTAATCCACTGAGCTGTCTGTAGCCCAGTTTCTTGCTGCTTCTTCAACCTTCCTCATTTCCCAGACAAACGCAAGCATGCCTGGCTGTAAAATCTGTGCCCTGGACTTGGAATTCACCTCGAGGGCAAGGAGAGTCAGTGGGCACCCCTGGGAGCCAAACATTTTGCAAACTGCCAGGAGGGAACAGGAGTAGCCATTCTACCCACAACCACCTGACAGAGTTCTTCAAATCAGAGGGTGGGATTTGCTCAAGCCCTCTAACCCCAGGCCCTCATGTTCCTGGCTCTCTGGCCACTGTTGCTTTCAAATACCAGGCCCTGGGGGCAGTGTGCCCATTGTACGGAGTACAAGCTGAGGCCCAGAGTGGCAGCATCTATAGGGAATCCCTGCAGCTACATGTGGGGGAATGGAGGACCCAGCTGTGGCCACTGTTTTGGGAACAGTAGGACAAAGCCTACAGCTTTTATGTGGGGGCTGTAGGCCTTGGCAAGAGTAATTCTATTTCTTTGCTGTCAGGAGAATGGAATTTCGTGGTGACTCTTTGAGGTCTGAAAACTGGAGGAGGGTGCCTGGCCAGCAGCCCCCACCCCTTCCCCAGGCCCAGCTCCAGGCTGAGGCACTCCCTTCCCCCCAGATCCCAAGGCTATCTCCAGAAAGTACTCTCCAGGGAGGTGCTTAGCTGAGGGCAGGAAGTGGGGGTCTGGGAGGGGGCTAAAGAGGGAAGGTCAGGTTGGCTGGGAAACCCTTTGGGACCCTGAAATCCTGGAAGGGGGTTGGGAGAGGATGGTCCCAGGCCCCAGCCCTGGGCAGGATTCCAGGAGCATAGCCAGGCTTCTTGCCTTCCCATGCCAGAGTGACCACCTTTTAGCCGACTTTGGACTGTGACCTTGCTCCTCTCCTCTGATACTGTATCCCCTCCTGTAATGCCAGGATGACTTTTTAAAAATTACTTTTATTCCCAGTGCTGAAAATTGAAGCCAGGGCCTTGGTCATGGTAAGCAAGTGCCCTACCACTAAGCTACATTCTCAGCCTTTATTGCTCATTTTCAAGGTATTCAGGGGTAATAAATAGATCATAGAGTAGCAGCCCAGAGCCTTCTGGCCAGGGATTTGCTTTCCCACTTACTGGGCATCTGGCCACTCTGTGTAGCCCTCTGCCAGCCTCACTGGGGCTCGTGGCAGCCACCCTGGATCTGCAGCTTTCATCAGGCCCCCAGGCCCTCACCAGGCTCATGAGCAGTGTTGTGTGCCCACTGAGCTCAGGTTTCCTTCCCCTACAGGCTTAGCCTGGGGTCTCCTGACCTTGGAGCCCTTGGGACTGGCTTTGGGCTGCCATCTTTCCCTGGTGGTATCCTGGGAAGATCTGTGGAGACATAATGAGTGAGCCATTAACTGAGCAGGAAGTCATCCGAGGCAGACATCAGAAACTTGCCTCCCCCAGCCCGCAGCCCAGCCCAGCAAGGGAAGATGGAGTCCCTGACTGCACAACCAGACAGGAATGTGGGTTGGTTACTGGACAAGCTAGGAATGCCAGACCTCAAGCTGATAGGAGGGAGTGCAAGGTGCCTACAGGCCCCCTCGAGGACAGTGGCCTGGCCAAGGCGGCCCAGCCTAAAGTTGTGGATGAGCACTCACTGTGGCAGGAGGGGAGGAACAGGACCTGGTGGGAAGCTAAGTACCATGATTTCCAGGCAGGGGTGCAGGGGTGATGCCCATGGTTGCATTGGAAGGCTGGGATAGGCAACCTCCTGCTATGATTGGAGGCCCACTCGGTCCCAGATGGCCTGCCGGCCTGCCTTGCACCCTGCTGCTGCCCACGCTGTGTGGTCTTGGTCTAGTTCCCATCTCTCTGTGGGCTCAAGATTCTGCTCAACTGTAATGGTGAAGTGGTTGGCGCCTTCCTGCCCTGCCCACTGAACTGGCTTGGGATGGTACTCTGCAGGCATAAATCAACTGCCTTCTCACTGGCAGCCTGACCCTTGGGTCTAGACCTTGGGCTCTGGCATGGACAGAGTGGCTAGGCTTGTTAGGGCAAGTCTGACTTGGCCTCAGTGACTGGGAAAGGCTCAGGAGGGCACCCTGGCCTGGGCATGCTGCAAGCCAGCCAACTGCTGCCTCTTCTAGGAAGTCCTCTAACCCCTATGCCACCTCTGGATCAATACCAGCTACCTGAGGCTGCAACTGCCTGTTTACCCATCTGACCTTGTGGGGCAAGAACACATCTTACACTGTCAGGGCTTGGCACAAAGGAAGCACTTAGTAAACACTGGTTGAATAGAAGGAGGGGAGTGTAAACAGATGTATAGATGGATGGAAAGACAGACAAATGGAGGGATGGGCAAACATAGTTGGATGTGTGCATAGATAGAAGGGTAGAGAAACAGGTAGACAGGTGGATCAATGGATGGATGGATGGATGGATGGATGGATGGATGGATGGATGGATGGATGGGTGGATGGATGGATGCCACATAGACAAGTGCTCTTGACTGAACTATATGGCCACCCTGCTGGGGAAGCACCAGTACCCCTCACATAGGTCTTCAAGGGCCTCTCTTAAGCCTCAGGGACCCAGAGAGGACAGCAAAGAGAGTTTCAGTCCTTTAGCATGGATTTATCCACACTAGGAGGGCGCAGGCCCAAGCCTGGCAGCTGAGGCTCTTCCTATGACTCGGCCCTGAGGCCAGCTGGGTTGTGGGACTGGCTGGGGCTAATCTGATTTGCAGGTCACAGTCCCAGAGCCTGATTACCAGGACCCACTTACTGAGGTCCTACAAAGGCCAGATACCCACCCTCAGACACCAGAGCCACTCAGCCCCAATGGTCTTTGTCTCCCCAAGAATGGCTAGCTTGTGTGGCGGCCACAAGTAGGCACCAGGCACAAGCCCCCACTCCAGTCATGACCCTGTGCCCATGTCAATGGGACAGGATCCCAGGGGCAGTGGGAGGGGGCTCCAGGCTGTGTAGAGGCAGCAGAAGTCAGAATCTTGGCTCCAAGGGGTCCTTGTTTACTGAGTGACAGGTACTGCTGTGACCTTAAGCTCTTCCTCTGTAAGATGGGCTGGTGTTGCTTCCCCTTTCCTCTTAAGGGTGGATGTGACTTGGGTGGGTGGTAA